CCTCAGCCTCCCAGAGTATAAGGATTACAGGCATGAGCCACTGTGCCTGGCCATGAAGATTATTTCTGAAGAGGTCAAGGCATTGACCCAAAACAGCAGAATTCAGATCTAAATCTCTGGCTATATTTCTGCTTCCTTTAGTTTAGCCTGTTGTTCTTTTTTAAAATTTTTAGTTGGACATTTAACTTGTTAATTTTCAGCCTTTTTTTCTACATATACACACACACACACATATTTATATAGAGAGCATATATCCTTTCATATTTTAAGGAAAAAACTATTAATTTTGTAATATGCAAATCATGTTTGACTTCTGCAATTACAAGAGGTGCACCATCTTTTGTTATCAGCATATATTGAATATTACAATTTTAATACAGTTTTTTCCTTTATTAAAATGTGTATGCATTTTTTTGGCACCCTCTATATATACAGTATATCTCCTTTTGAGTATATATTAGGTTTTTCCTCAGAGGTTACAGCAAGACCTACCTAAGAAAAGGAGCTGAAGGTTTTCTTTCCCTCTGAAGACTAAAGACTAAAGCTAAACAAGAGGCCGACTGAAACTCAAGTGAATGGTGCCAGTTTGGGAGTGTTAAAGGTGTGCTTCTGCTAGCCCTGATGTGAATTGCTGAATGCTACCATCAGCTTCAATAATTCTTACTCCAAAACTGCAGATGAATTACAGTGCTATAAAAGGAGACTTACCACGCAGATGGCCTGCTCTTTGAATTGCTTGATTTACTGCTTTGAGGTTTCCCAATAGCTCTGTGTGATTGTTACAACGAATTTTATATCCATTTACCAAGTCTTTGTTAAGGTCATAGAGCTCCATATAGCGATTCTTCATTGTTCTCCTGTGTAAATCAGTAGAAATTTAACATCATTTTATCTCAATATGGCAGGCTTAAGAAAAACTTGCAACTTTTTAGCCACATAAAGAAGACACCATTTCTAGCTGTATTTTCATTTAAAAAAGGTAACTGTTAAGATTAGCTTTAAAAACACTGAAAAGTTTCCCTCAATATTCTATTTCTCTCAAATAAGGAAGGCAAAGTGGCCTTCCTTGGTTATTAGTCCATTGTTAATTTTGATTTAGGTACTTAAAAATTACCAAGCCCATTGTGCAGGGGGATAGGGAAAAGTGAGCAAGGTGATAGACTATCTTCAAAGATTCAGATTAATATTCACTAAATGGAACTGACCTATTCTTATTTTTATTTATTTATTTATTTATTTATTTTTGAGACAGAATCTCATTATGTCAGCCTTGGTAGAGTACCGTGGCATCACAGCTCACAGCAACCTCAAACTCTTGGGTTTAAGCAGTTCTCTTGCCTCAGCCCCGCCAAGTAGCTGGGACTGTAGGCGCCCACCACAACACCCAGCTTTTTTTTGTTGCAGTTGTCACTGATGTCTAGCAGCCTCGGCCTGGTTTCAAACTAGCCACCCTGGTTATGTAGCTGGCACTGTAACCACTGTGCTATTTTTAGACAACAGACTCAGCTTCACATTTTATCCAGGTTTCGCAAACAACATCATAAAATTAAAACCAGAATGAGGTATTACTACAAAATGAGTGACTAAAACAAGCCCTAAAAATACCAAATGCTGGCAAAGATGTGGAGCAACTGGAATTCTCATGTGTCTGTGATAGAAATAGTGCAGCTACTTTGGAAAATGACTTGGCAGTTTCTTATAAAGTTAAACATACACTTATTGTACAATTTGGTAATATCATCACAAGGAATTTACTAAAGAAAAATGAAAACATGTTTGCAAAAAAAGTATGCAAATATCTACGGCAGCTTTATTTATATACCAAAGGCTGGAAACACCCAAATGCCCATCAATTGGTGAATGGATAAATATTGCATATCCATACAATGGAATACTATCCAGCAATAAGAAGGAACAAACTAGGGATATGTGCAACATGGATTGATGTCAAAGGCATTATGGTACGTGAACAGAGGACTCAAAAGGCTGTATGCACACTGTATGACTACATTTATATGATCTTTCAGAAAAGGTAAAACCATAGGCAGAGAAATGAGATCAGTGGTTTCTAGGGACTGGAGGTTAGGAGAGGAACTGACAGAAAGAGGCACAAGAATGATGGAAATATTCTATATTATCTATATTAAATATTCTATATTATGGTAACAGCAACAATGTTTCTCAAATATTATTAAACTATCAAGCTAAAAAGGGTAGATATCGGCATATACAAGTTATACATCAACTGATTTTTGACTTTTAAAAAATAAAACAAGCCATATCTGGAATGAACATCACAGGTATTATCATACAAGGCCTAATAATTAATTTCATGATCTTGCCATTGCGTACTTAAAAATTCATTTACTTCTGAACAAGACCACGTTAATTATTTGTCAATAATCCAAGTCTTTTAGGAAGAGTATAAGCAGGACTCTACATGAACTCTTGCCTCTAATGGACATTTAATAGACATTTAAGCTTCGTCTATCACTTACTACTTTACTGAATTTGGTTCAGTACACGGTATTGCCAAGATGAGTTTTACATCCTAGCAAGCATGAAGGTAGACATGCACATATTTAAGTTTTTTAATTGTAAAATGTTATATATTCAGAAAAGTTCATAGAACAAATGTTTGTTAATGAGGTCAAGAAATAGGTGGGAAGCATCCCAGAAGCTTCCCAATGTGTTCTTTCTGAACACAGTCCCTCCTCCTCTAGTAGAAAACACTGTCTGACAGGATTGGGGGACAAAAGTGACTATTTTAAAATGCTAATCTTCCTGATCAACCTCAAGTCTAGAAATGCCTCCAAAATGTCTAGCTGATATATTACTCTTCACCTAGAGATACATATTCACCGTTAAGTTTCACCTTTCCTCCCAAACAACCCTTGATGTATACATAATAGCCTGTGATGCAGCCACCTGCACCTTCCTTCCAGAGCACATACAATTCTTCTCCAAGATACAGGCCCTGAGTTTGGGAGACTGCAGTGTGGAAACCTTGTCTTGTGATTGCCTAAGACCATGTTCTGTTTGTAAGTCCCCCTAATTAATCATCCTATGCAGATAAACTGGATTTGCCTCATTCTTCAGTTTTTTGGTTCCTTTGGCATTTTGGTGGTTGCTTTGCATATACAACATTTTCATGGAACAATGATAAACTCTCCCCTGCATTTCTTTATATTTTTATGTATTGCATGCCTCCCAAACAATATGACTTAGTCTTTTGTTCTAACTATATAAATGAAAGCATCTGGTACATATTCTTTTAAACTTACTTCTCTCAGGCTCCATTATATTTGTAAGATGTGTCCATGTTGTTCTGTCACATAGACTCATGCATTCTCTTTATATTCCACTCTATAAATATATGGCAATTTACCCATTAAATTGTTGATGCTAGTTTGAATTGTTTCCACCCTAGGATTCTTATAAAAAGGGCCTTCTTTTTTTTTTTTTTTGAGATAGTCTTACTTTGTTCCCAGGTGAGAGTGCCAGGGAGTCAGTCTAGCTCATAGTAAACTCAAACTCCTGGGTTCAAGCAATCCTCCCACCTCCTCTTCCCAAGTAGCTGGGACTACAGGCACCTGCCATGATGCCCGGCTAATTTTTTTTATTTTTAATAGAGACAGGGTCTCGCTCTTGCTCAGGCTGGTCTCAAACTCCTGACCTCAAGCAATTCTCCCACCTCAGCCTATCACAGTGCAAAGATTACAGGTGTTAGGCATAGGGCCCAGCCATGAACAGTGCCTTCCTGAATATTCTTGTATAAATATCCTAGTTCCTATGTGCACAATTTTTTTCTAGGCTGTAAACCAGAAGTAGAATTGCTAAATCATAGGGAAGATACATTTTCGACTTTACTGATGACACCAAGGTATTTTCCAAACTCATTATGTCAATTTACACTCTTCCAAGAACCTCTGAGAGTCGTGATTCCATATTATTCCCACATTTAACCTGGGGACCATCCTAGCCATGGCAAATACTCACATGTCCCTCATCAGACGAGCATCCTCAGCTCGGACCAGCAAACTTCGGATGAGATTAGAATTATCAGCCATGTCAGCACTGAGCTTCTGATGCACTGAGTGATACTCATCCACCTGAAGACCATGAACACTCAGGAATTAAAATGGCCTCACAAATGTCTCGAAACCACACAGACCGAGAAGATGCTATTTACTACATACAGAGGCCCTGCTCAGCTACCTCGTTATTTCATCTCTTCCTCAGCAAAATAGTCTGTTTCCTCCAACATTCAGCATGACACCCCACGTGGATCCTTCCCACACCTTAGCATCAGAAGCCCAGCAACACACATATTAGCATTTTAGGGATTTGCAGTGGGAATATTGTTATACTTTGTAGCCAATCACAACCCACTTTATTTTGCTTTCTTGTTTTGAATTTAGGTTTCTGGAAAGACCTAAGACTAAAAGTAGACATAACAGATAAGACAAAGGGCTAGCAAAGGGAACTGTCAATATGACATGTACTTTCTAAGGTATCCTATCCCCCTAAACCAAACAAAGAAAGTAGAGTGGTCAGGAGCTAAGCTCTTTTATAGAAGAAATCCTTTTTTTTTTTTTTTGAGACAGAGCCTCCAGCTGTCACCCTGGGTAGAGTGCCATGGCATCACAGCTCACAGCAACCTCCAATTCCTGGGCTTAAGCCATTCTCTTGCCTCAGCCTCCCAAGTAGTTGGGACTACAAGCACCTGACACAATGCCCAGCTATTTTCTGTCTGTAGTTGTCGTTGTTGTTTGGCAGGCCCAGGCTGGATTCGAACCCACCAGCCCTGATGTATGTGGCTGGCACCTTAACTTGCTTGAGCTACAGGCGCCGAGACAGAAGAAATCCTTTTAATGGGTGAACTCTCTAATACAAATTTTAATTTTTACTTCAAAAAGTATAAGACTTCTTTAAAAGATCACTGTCATTTAGTACTAAGTACATCTGTAGTATCATCAGCTCCTAAGAGAAACATAACATTATTAGAGTACCACAGCCCCACAAATGTTCCCACTCGTGCCCTCACCTTAATTAACACCTTTCGTAACTCCTCAAAGTAAACAGGAAAATCTGCTTCTACCTGAAGTTCTTCAATAGCAAAAGATGATGCCATTGACTGGATGATATCACCAGCCAAATCAATATCATCAGTATTTAAAGTGATCTATCCAGAGGAAAAAGAGACAAGTTTAGCATCCTCAGAAACCAGACAAACTTAGCTGAAACAGTACCTGAATTTCCCCCATATTCAACACAATTATTGAGCATATATTTATATGTAGTGATAAAGTTTAGTCCTCACGGAAATTACAAACTGCACTCAGTAGTTCCAGCAGTTCAATCAATTCAGTAGCTCAGCTAAAAGTTCAATCTTCTAGCCTTAGAAACTGACAAAATCAAACAATGAAAATGACTTTGTTCACCTCTATATTCCCAATTTTCCTAAATCAGATAAGGACAGAGTGAAGGGAAGGCGAGAAGGAGGCAGAAAACTTCTGTTAAGGATGATGCCCCGGCATCTAAGATGGTAACACTAACAGACTAAATTGAAACATGTAGTTTTATGACTTTGACACTGGCGTCCCCCCTCACTTTGCACTAAATGGTAAATGCCACATGAGAAATTTGTCCCCCATGACATTAAACCTTACCTCTCCACTAAGTTTTATTTTTATAAACAGATGACAACCAGTCCGTAAGGATGTAAAACACACTTGAAATGGAGCACTCTGAATGTTAGTGTCTTCCGGAAACAGAAAATTTTGCTTAAGCCACATAGCAACCTTGAAAACAAATACAATGAAATGAGCTTCCATTTTTAGAGTGCAGCCATTCTTGAGGGATGTATTAGCGTTACTACTTAGTTAAAATAAAAAAGTTATACTTAACCCCCACCAAGAAAACATTACTCACACTCCCCTTTCCCCCCTCACACACATTAAGTAACATTCATAAGTATGCCTGACCCCACAGCAGGCACCATTTTAAAGAATTTTCTACTTAGACGTAATCTTATATGCAATGTATAAATGATTCAGCTACGATGCTAATTCTGCTATGCAACAGCTCTTCTATAGTTGTATCCTAGATAATAAAGTCTGCTTAAAACTATACCATTTGATTCCTTAAAAAAACATTAAACTGTATACATCACAGAGATAAATCTATACAGTAAGTTTTAATGTTAATAATAATAATCCTTTATAGTGGTTTATAACACAAGTTCCTCATAAGAGCCACCCAGGAGGCCTTGTAGGAGGGCCTGCCTATAGAGTTTCTGTTTCCATGGGCCAGGGAGGGGCCTGAGATGATTAAAAACCTTCATCGAGAATTCTCAAGCCCCACTAAAGTTAAAATGCACTGGTATTAGCCCTTTAAACTTTATAAGGTACTGTCATGTAATCCTCAGGGCCCTACAATGAGCTGGGCAAGACTATCCTCACCTATAGATAAGAAAATTGAGGTTCAGATTGGTGAGAGGAATTCCCCAAGATTACTAAGAATTTAATTAATTAATGTAGCACTTGAGCCCCCAAATATTCCTAGCTCTGTCTCACTCTCCTTTCATCTTGATGCAGCTTTTGAAATACTAGACCAGGACAACCACAATAAGGCAAGAGAAAGAGGGGTAAGAATTCACCTATAACTAAGGATTGCTCAGATTTTTTTGTTAAGGGAGAGATATTGTAGCAATATTTTTAATACAGATTATAAGCCAACTCCAAGTTCCATAATTCTTTCATATCATATTTACTGCTACCAAGGTAAGGCATTCACATGTATTACCCCTTTCTATAAAATAAAATCTAAAGGATTCTACAACACGAAAGCATCAAACAAAAAAAGCAGGATACTCACCCGCTGTGGCCGTTCCGCAATGGTAAAGTTCACATAACTGATGGGCTCACTGGCAGTGTCCGGGCTGGTCAGCGCATACATGGAGAACCGAGGGAGCTGTCTTGTCAATTCGAATACATGAAACTGGGTGCTATGGCCAACCAATGGAACACAAGAGAACTGTTTGTACAGAATGTTATTTCAAAGTGCAAGGCCCAGAAAATAAGGTCACTACCTGGTCCTAGATTGATATTTAAAGTTTTCCCTAAAGAAGAAAAAAACCAAAACGCTTGTGGGTTAGATAGAGTACTCAGTAATGTACTCTAAGTTTAGAGTTTAGTGATAACATGAGTCTACATATACATAGGGTTTAAAACGCTCTAAAAGAAATGTAAAAACGCTTCTATCGTTCACTCACAAAGCAGTTTTCCTTCACTAGCTGAGGTTTATATATACCAGGAGTGCCAAAAAAATCTGTACACAATTTAAGATATGTTATCTATGTGTTACTTTTCAAAGCTGAATTATAGTAGCAACGTATAATATGATGTCGGCTCAATTAATCAAATGAATGCTTCTGTCCCCCTTGCAAAAGGCAAGACAAAGAAAAGGGCAGAAACAAGGTTGTCATTCAGAGACCTCGAGACCATTCTGAAGTGGCAGAATGTGAACTATAGAACGCTGTGAAAGTACAACGACAATGGAGGCGGGAGCAGCGGCGTAAAGGACCAGCGCCTTAAAGGACCTGGCGTACTGCAGGAAACTGGCTACCTTGGTGGTACTTTGGGAAGAAAGTGAAATGGCACAAGCAATGATACAGGGGGACACTTTGGTCAACATTGCCCAAGCAATAGTTCACCATGATCAGAAATGTCTGGACACTGATGGTGACCACTTTGAGCAACTTTTGTAATTAACTAAGTCAAATAATACTTTTGTTATTGGTATATGTTGAGTGTTACAATTTTAATGCAGTCTTTTCCTTTCTTAAAATGTGTATACATTTTTTGGCATGCTCTGTGTGTCTATCTTCCTAATATAAGATGCATCTAACCCATCTACAGTAGCCAAAACTGTAAGTTGACAAAATGTCAATTGAATTTGAACTCTTGTGATTGTAACATAATCTAACTAAAAAAAGAAAATAATCATCTTAAACCTTAAACTTATATGCCTTTTTTGTTTTTACTGATTTCAAATTAGGGAAATAAGAGGTCAGGAGAAATCTCTGGGTGGACAGAACCATTAAATGGCTTCTTAGGCTCCACAAAACCCTGAGACATGGAAAATCAAAATACCTTGCCCTTATCTAGATGCTATCTCACAATGAACTGTGATTTGCAAAGGGTCACCTGCTTCTGTAACCCACGAACATCTTCAAGTGCAGATCCACAGGGATATCTTTGGGAGGTGTAATCGGGATGCGGATGGAGCTGGACAGGTTGTGAATACTTGGATGTACCACATGGCTTTCACCTACAAAAATTCCTTCTGCAAAAATCAATACTGCCCGGATAATGGTATCTGTAGGAAGAGGGAAAACAGTTCAAGAACTACTCCAAGATGGCACAGGTGCCTTTGAATACCAGCTATAACTCATTTCTCACCATTAGACGTAGAGATGCACAACTCTGCATGAGCAGCTTGAGTCTCATTCCCCAGATTGACCGAGAGGCTGGTACGGAGCGTGGTGTTGGCTGGGATTATGCCCCGTTGCCCATCAGTCTCATTCAGTGGACCACTCGATTCAGCCTGCAAAACACCTGCCTGCTTCCAACTCAGTCACAACAGTGAACTACTGTCAATTTTAAATAATAAGGCTATGCAGCTTCAAAAGGCACAGTAGCCATCGTCTTATTAATCTGACTCTTTAGAATTCAAAGAACTCACCTCGTCAGTGCCCCCTTCTCTATCTGGCCCTGGAGGAAAATACCTTTGTCTCTTTCTACGGTTATAGTCCACTGTACCTCATTATGCCTTTCACATTGTTTTTAAGTAACAAAAAAAATTCACTTGATACAGCAAATTCAAATAAGATAACGCATAGCAGGACAAATTAGGGTCCCATTCTCCCGCTCATCCTCCAGGCTGGTGTACACACACATACGCACATTCACAGGTTGTGTAATTGCCCATTTTTATATTGTTTTTGAAAATGATAAGATACTCCATACATTGTTCTTGTTTTCTGACGCTTAATAATATCATAGCTATCCTTCCCTAGCAGTCTAAGGAAATACAATTCATTCTTTTGAGCTGTTCAATATTCCCTAGCACGTAACCTCTACAGTGATGAACATTTACACTGCTTCCAGATGTTAGCTGCTATAAATAGTGCTGCAATAAATCTTTGGACACTCACACAGATATTTCTATAGTTTAGATGCCTGGAATTTCAAGACCAAAGAGTACAGCTCTCTCAATGCTGAGACTGGCAAAAAGGCTGAAGCAAAAAGGCCCAGACTTGCCAATCCTCCCGCTCAGCCTCCATGTCCCAGACTCCATTACCCTTTCACACCAGGACCCACCTTGGCATTTTGCTCATAGTTACGGAGTTCCATCAACAGATTCTGTTTTTTCTGACTCAGCTCTCGGATCAGGTCCTGCTCTGCACTGGTGTCCATGAGGTTCCCCCTCATCTCAGCTGTGCCTGGCAGGTAGCCCCGGACTGAAGAGAAGGAAAAAGTCCTCACTAAACTCAAAACTATCCCAGGTAGAGCCAGGTCTACTTTTAGGTCACCAACTACCTATTCTTAAAAAGCAAACATCTAAGTTCTCATCTCCCCAACGTAGATGAATTGATTAGAACTAGACAATGTCAATACAAATACTTTTAAAGGAATTTGACTTTCTTTCCTTCTCTCTTCTTAGAGACCAGATCTCCCTCTGCCTCTCAGAATGGGGTGCAACACTGCCATCATAGCTCGCTGCAACCACCAACCCCGGGGCTCAAGTGGCCCTCCTGCCTCAGCCCCCCACGCAGCTATGACTAAGACCCATATTACCATGCCTGATTAATGTTTTTTCATTTTTTGTAAAGACGGAGTCTCGCTATGTTGGTCTCAAACTCCTGGCCTCCAGTAATCCTCCCACCTCGGCCTGACTTTCAAGGATTTTTCTCGTTATCGATTTACTTTCCCCATCCACTGAGCAGCAGATCAACTGTATGTGGCCGTCCATCCGGTAATCTCCTTCTACAACACCAGCAACTGCAGAAGAAAAGTTGTCTTTAAAGATGACCTCCCCGGTTCGGTCACTTCGAGCATCAACCTAAAAGTAAAGCAAGAACTTAGGAAGTGGCTTATGCTACAGTTTTAAAAACCACAAAATTTAATAAAAATCAACTTCACATTCAGTCTTGTTTTTAGTCTTTTCATTCAGTCCAGCAGTTTTCAAGAGTATTCTATGAAGCCCTGTGACTTCTTAGGAGATACCTAAGACTGCTGGGGACAAGGGGACCTTCAGGGGGCCCACCCAGCTATGCTTAATTCTTTTGAAATAAAAGCTGTTTTACATACTGGCCTTCCCACAATATTTCACTTGAAGAAATGGGTCTGCTGAGAGGCAGCAGATGTAGCATGTATGGCATCGTGCAAAAGGGCCTGGGCTTCATGGCTAAACTGTTCACACTCAGAATCCAGCTCTGCCAAGTACTGTCCATGGGATCTTGGGCAGGCTTATATTTTTTTTTTTTTTTTGTCTGTTCTGATGTTTTCTGGGGACAGAGTCTCACTCTGTCACCCAGGCTAGAGGGCAGTGATATCAGCTCACTACAGCCTCAAACTCCTGGGCTCAAGCTATCCTCCTGCCTCAACCTCCTGAACAGCTGGGACTACAGCATGTACTTCCATAAAGACAGAGGTCTGACTATACTGCTCAGGCTGGTCTTAAACTCCTGGACTCAAGTAATCCTCCCACCTCAGCCTCCCAAAGTACTGGGATTACAGACATGAGCCACTGCACCCAGCCATTAGGTAAGTTTTATAACCATTTTGTGCTTGGTCTTCCTATCTGGTGATGAATAACCAGAACATGGAGAAAATAACGACACTGCTACACCCCACAGAGTTGTAATGAGCCTAAGGAAACCAAGCGTGAAAAGCACTTAAAACAGGGTGTGGTACACAAAAGTACACAATAAATGTTAGCTCTGTATGGAAAAAAAATTATCTTTATTACATATAAACGTATAAAATATATATATATTTGAAGTTTGAAAAACATGGAGTTAGCCCAATGTTCTACCATACAATCCTCATAACAGCCCTGTTAAGAGCCTTTTGCATGGGGGACAGAAGTTCCACATAAAAACCACTCAGATACCCAAGAAAGCTCTCCTATTCTCTTTGAGTCTCTTATTCTTGAGAGACAGAACCAATAACTGACTTATCAGAAACAAATGCATCTCAAATGTAATAGACAACAACCACTTAAAATAATGATTTTGTTCCAATCAAGGACACAGTATTCTTTTTTTTTTTTTTTTTTTTTTGAGACAGAGCCTCAAGCTGTCCCCCTGGGTAGAGTGCCATGGCATTACAGCTCACAGCAACCTCCAACTCTTGGGCTCAAGCGAGTCTCCTGCCTCCGCCTCCCAAGTAGCTGGGACTACAGGCGCCCGCCACAACGCCCGGCATTTTTTTGGTTGCAGCCGTCATTGTTGTTTGGCGGGTCCGGGCTGGGGAGTCGAACCCGCCACCTTAGGTGTACGTGGCTGGCGCCTTAGCCGGTTGAGCTATAGGCGCTGAGCCAGGACACAGTATTCTTAACAAAAGGCTAAGTACAGAAAATTTGGTACGGCAATCACTTCAAGGATCAATGCTGCATGTATGTTCACTATTTTTGCCTTTTCATAAACATCCTTCTGGGCAAATCTTTGCAACTAAAAAATAAAGTAATTTAGGTTACAGCCTACGCCTTGTCTACAGTGTATCACAGTCAATATGGTATTAATAACATCATGGAAGCCTGTGAGCAGTGACTTGTATTTTACCAAAGCTCTTAGCATATTAACATAACCCTTCAGCTCTGGCTGAATTGAACTTGCTTCTTTCTAAGTAAAAGCTAGCAACCTAATGGCTTCTGGCATTGCATTTCCACAATATTTAGCAAACAAGGAGGTTCATTTGCTAACTGAGAAGCAGGACTACAAATTAATATTTTTGCAGATATTTTAGTATTTTGCTTAATCCAATATGGAGGTTTTACCCTGAAAGGAAAGGATGGCCCTCCAACTCATACAAAAGACGAAGTTAATTGGCTGGTAGCGTTTATTACTTTTATACCTACATTCACAAGTTGGAGCTGTGTATTTTCCTTTTCTATGCTATTTCTGTTAAGTGTAAATAATTGGTTTTTCCACTGTGTAATGAACTGTGTAATTTTCTTATTTTTTTAACGCTTTAAAACAGATTATGTAATACAAATCCCTTAAAATTTTGAAAGCATTTAACTATAAAAACATCTAGGTCAAGAGTCATATTTCAACGTAACTTGAAAACGTCTCTAGTGTTTTCTAACTCTAGAATGCGCATCAATAATTTATATTTCCCCAGAATATGGTCCATTGCTATGGACTGAACGTTTGTGGCCCCACACAAACTTCCAAGGTGATGGTACATGTAATAGGAAGTGGAGCTTTTGAGAGGTGACTGATCATGAGGGCTCTGGGTAGTGCTCTCGTGAAAACGGCCCCAGAGAGATCCTTCAGCCCCTCTCCATGTGAGGCTACAGTGAGGGGATGTCTACAAGGAAGACGCCCCTTACCAGACCCAAAATCTGCCATTGCCTTGTTCTTGGACTTCCCAGCCTCCAGAACTGTGAGAAATCAATGTCTTTTGTTTATTAGCCACCTACCACTTTATGGTATTTTGCTACAGCAGCCCGAGCTAATGAAGACATCCATCTTAAAGATTTTCAAATTTCTTAGAAAACAGCTACACAGTCTTCTAATTTTTAATACCCATACCAAAGACAAAACTAAGCGGATAAGCAGAAACCAATATAACAGCATCTTAGAATCTGTTCTTCACATATCACAAAAGGAAAGCTACAAGGTGCTGGCTAAAAGTAAAGAAAAGTCAAAGAAGACGGCAGGATTAGCCAACCCGCTTCAGACAAGCTGACACTGACAGACGAGAAAGCCAGGGCGAACCGTATCCATGGAGATCTGGCAGCTACTGAGTTTCTAACAAGATGATCCTGACTTGGCAAAAGACTGCAGAAATACTGACTTCAAGTTAAAAAAGGGAAGAAAACAAAATGATTTTATTTTGAAGTTATAGTTCAAAAAACAATGCATTAACATGATTCTTCCCATTAATTCTAGGTTTTCAGTCAATTTGTGATTTATTTATTAGACAAGAGCTTTTCAAACAGTTCATTACTTGGTTATCAAAGTTCCTTTTATTTGGCTACACCAAGAAGCAACCTGAGTAATGGATTCTCAGTCTTTCAAAGAAAAGATATCAGAGACAACATCCCTGGAGATTCCCCCTCAAACAGAGCTGGCAAGACCAAAAGGGTATTAACCCCCACAGCTCCTAACAAACACAGCAGGAATAAATAATACGGAAATATCATAAAGTTGAATTTGAAAACACAGCCAAGGAACTCAAGTTCATATTCCTATGGTACTGTTCTAAGTCATACATTCAACATACCTCAATTGTTACTTTGAATTATACCTGAACTCTGCTCTTTTAAAAAAAAAAAAAAAGTGTCATTCTGCCACCCTGGGTCAAGTGCCATGGGGTCATCACAGCTCACAGCAACCTCAATCTCTTGGGCTCAAGTGATCCTCTTGCCTCAGCCTCCCAAGTAGCTGGGATTATAGGCATCTGCCACAACACCCAGCTAGTTTTTCTACTTTTAGTAGAAACAAGGTCTCACTCTTATTCAGGCTGGTCTTGAACTGCTGAGTTCAAGCAATCCACGTACCTCAGCCTCCCAAAGTGCTAGAATTACAGGCATGAGCCACCAAGCCCAGTTGAACTCTGCTATTTAAACTTACCTTTCCATTGGACCAACCAGTTATCAGCTCATTCACTCCATCAGAATTAAGGTCAAATGCATGAATGCAAATGGCATGGTTTTTGGACTGAAAAAGAATTCCAATAATTAGTACAGAAATCTCTCAGTAAGTATAACATCCCCGAATATCAAAGGTTGAATAACACTAACTTTAATTCTCCAGTAGCGGGCTGTTTTGTCATAAACTCCAACTGTGCCATTGGAAAGGGCATAACCAAATCGACTGCCATACATAGGACAGAGAGAGGTGATTATCTGCAAAAATAATACATGAAAATACAACATCTTTTCATTAAGGCTCAATTTAAAGGACGACTTTATAAACTTGCATGCTTCAACATATGATAAAATTAGCTGAAGTGCACTTTTCTCCAATCCATTACTGGGGAATATATTCCTCTTCTCTATGATACATGTTATTTAATTTCAGTTAGATCATCAGCTTTAAATAAACTCACAATGTGTGGTGTTTTAGATCATGCTTATGGAAGGTTTCAGCAAATTGTTAAAAAAAAAAAAAACTCAGAGGAAATTAGAAGGAAATAAGCTCAGTACATATGGTCTAGGCAGGGGTCCTCAAACGTTTTAAACAGGGGGCCAGTTCACTGTCCCTCAAACTGTTGGAGGGCTGGACTGTGGGCCCCAGGACGAGTTGGCTGCTAAGCAGGACAGGCAGCAGTGGCAAAAATACCCAGCGGGCTGGATAAATGTCCTAGGCAGGCTGCATGTGGCCCATAGGTCATAGTTTGAGGACACCTTGTCTAGAGTATGTGCAATCGGTGTTACACACACTAACTAACCCTAGAGGTTTAAATGATTATTCCAATCTCCTTAACTTGTAATGTCTTACAGCTGAGATTTTAAAAAGACTTGCAACAATCTATATTTGAACATCTAACTTTTACATGTACATTTTTCTATGAAAAGCACCTTGTCTGCTTGAAATAAAAGAAAACACGAAAAGTAAAACTCAAGCACATGGATTTGTGTAGTATGTAACAATATACAGAATGCATATATTATACAGAAATATTTGTAGGACTGTCAAGGATTTAACATCCTTAAAAGGATAAATTTTTAAATCTTGTACAAAATTATCCTTTAAAGTTAAAACCAAAGCTTAATGATATTTATGACACTGTAGATCTACTTTCTAATTCTGACATTAATACAAGAGCTATTAAGAAATAAATTGTATCAAGCAGAGAATAGTTATGTAATTTCCTTTACACCTACAGCTTCTCTACAAAACCACCCACTTCACTTAACTCTGAATACAAAGGGCTGTGTAGGATTCCAGAATTATTTAATTCAAGCATTGCTAAACGAATCATGATTTTGCTGATCTGGGAAAAGATATTTGACCCAGGAGGAAAATAGAACCATTTTGCAGGAAAATGACCCTGCAAATGAATAATGTTTTACAGTCCATATTTGTATAAATTTAGCTGCAGATTCCCCAGGTCCTTCGGTGCTTCTTGACTTCATTTTGTTTCTTTCATGCACTAGAGCTGTGGTCCCAACTCCCAGGCTACAGACTAGTACTGGTCCATGGCCTGTTAGGAACCCTGTAAGGAACCGGGCCGCACAGTAAGGGGATGACAGCAGGTAAGGGAAGTTTCATCTGAGTTTACAGCTGCTCCCCACTGCTTGTGTCAATAGCTGAACTCTGCTTCTTGTCAGATAAGTGGGGGTGTCAGATAAGTGGGGGTGTCAGATAAGTGGGGGTATCTGATTCTTTGGCAGGGTGGATGAGGGGTTTCATTTTTGTTTTTTGAGAGAGTCTCACTTTGTTGCCCCAGGCTACCGTGGCCTGGAGTCATCACAGCTCACAGGAACCTCAGTATCTTGGGCTCAAGCAATCCTCCTGCCTCAGCCTCCCGAGTAGCTGGAACTATAGATGCCAGCCACGACACCTGTTAGTTTTTCTATTTTTAGTAGAGACAGGGTCTTACTCTTGCTCAGGCTGGTCTCAAACTCCTGAGCTGAAGCAATCCACCCACCTTGGCCTCCCAGAGTGCTGGCTTACAGGCGTGAGCCATCACAACTGGCAGGTATTAGATTCTTATGGGAGACAAACCCTACTGCGAACTGCGCCTGTGAGGGATCTAGGTTGTGTGCTCCTTATGAGAATCCAATGCCTGATGATCTGAGGTGGAGATGGAATATGTTTAAATCATCCTAAAACCATCCCCTACCCCCACCCGAGTCCATAGAAAAACTGTCTTTCATGAAACTGGTCCCTGGCATCAAAAAGGTTGGGGACCAATGTACTAGAGCAGTGGTTCTCAACCTTCCTAATGCCATGGCCCTTTAATACAGTTCCTGTGGGTTGCGACCCACAGGTTGGGAACCACTGTACTAGAGGATTGAGCAATCCCCTCACATCCCTAGCTCGCTTCATGTCCTCTTCCCCTTTTCTAGGATTTAGGAAAAAAGTGTCTCAAGGAATGCACCCTTCTCACATATATGTGTAATATTAACAGTAAAAAGAAATCCATCAAAACCTGAATGATTCTCATCAAATAAGGACAGATTTACTACACCCTGGAACAAAAGGGACATAATAATGCAGGACAGAGCACCTATAAGCCAGTGATTCACAAATGGAGTTCTGCTGGGGTTGGGGGGCAGCAGGGAGGTTGTAAACCCCTTTAAGAATCTAATGAAAGGCTCGGCACCTGTGGCTCAAGCGGCTAAGGCGCCAGCCACATACACCTAAAGTGGCGGGTTCGAATCCCCAGCCCGGGCCTGCCAAACAACAATGATGGCTGCAACCAAAAAATGGCCAGGCGTTGTGGCGG